TCGTCGGATTGGACAGTTACCTCACGGTTGTCCAAAGCTTACTCACACCAGAGGTGAAGTTACAGGTCTTCAGATGCTCTTCCCACTCCTTCCGCTTATGTACGTTTACTAGTTGCCGAATCTCCGCGTTGAGATCCCTGATACGGGGATCTCCGGGATCGGCCTGACGAAGGCTGTCACGCTCATCGGCTAGAACAGCCGCTTCAGCAGGGAAATTTGGAAGTGGGTCCATTATGCATCTTGCCGGTACGAAGCGAGCTGCAGCAGCGGTGATAGCCCTGCGGAACTAACGTTCACCAAGGTGGACGTCAGTTGGTGTGGGGAGCGCAGCGAAGGTGTTTTCAGTAAATTCCGTGAAGCCTTTCCAATCAGCTTTAGAAAAGTTGATATTCGTCCGGTGTTCCGCGGAAGCAAAGTCGGTTGGTTGACTGTTGTTATGTCTGGCGAGCTGCAGCAGCTGCCCCTAATCCTTGTGGGTGCGTCGTCGTTCATTGGGCAGAATGTCGAATCGTCTATCTGCTCAGCCAAGTCAGTTCCCCTACGATCGTTTGACAGGCTTGAGTGCCAAAGATCGTAGTGGGCATTAAAGTCACCATACGGTTTTCACCTCTGAGGAGCGCACCTATATCAGGGTGATATCCTGCTGGGCAGCAGGTGACAGGGGGTATGTACACGTTAAATATTTCGAGCTCAACATCGCCTGACCGGATAGCAATGCCCTGACATTCTAGGGTGTTATCCCTGCGGTCGATGTCTGCTTCAATGAGACGATACTGCACGGTGTGGTGCGTGATGAACGCTAAGCCACCACCATTATCTCGCTCGCGATCTCGACGGTACACGTTGTACCCGGCACAATTCAACAATGTTGAATTGCTGTGCAACTTCGTCTCTTGGACCGCAGCTATCAATATACCATGCCTTCCCATGAAGACGGTTATCTCCTCGATCTTGCTCTGAAGCCCGTTGTAGATAAATTGAAGGAGCTTCATGTGGTTCGGGAGACGTGTGGTAATGCGGGGTGTGAGAGATGTGTGTGGCCTTGACGCCATTGGCTGTGTGCGCTGATGTGGTGGTTGCCGCCTTGCGGTGGTGGTGGTTGGCATCGCAGTTGGGGTTTGCGACCGTACAGCGCAACACGGGCCCTCGAAGTTCCTCGTCCAATCTCGCGTGGTGCGCAGACCTGAACATGCCCTAAAGTGACACCAGCCAATGCAGGTGTTGCACTTGACTGATGTCACATTACGGAATATCCTGGTCTGACATACCGTGCAGATTGTAGGAGGAACCAAGAGTTGTTGGCGGCGACGTGTGGTTGGTGGTGCGGTTGTGTATGTTCTGTGGTCTGTCGTGGTTGTGGTGTGGTCTGTTGTGTTGTTATGTTGTTATGTTGTTGTGCTGTGGTGTTTGTGTGGAGCTGCTCAGGTGGACTGGGGTTAGCCATGGAGGCTGCTCTATTTGAGCAGCAGGGGGCCACAAATGACGTGGTCCACTGCCGATGTGTCCGTAATCCTGAGCAGACTCTGAGGTGACTCCACCCGTCGCAAGCATTGCTCTTGACTGAGGTGGAGTTGTGGTGTAGTCGTCTCTGGCATACACAGCGGGTGTAGGTTTCTGGCCCTGGGTTTGACTCGATGCCAGCCCTGAGCAGAAGAATACGTAGCGAATGTAGCCCTATGGACGAACAACTTCTGAGAGACTTCGCCGACCTAAACGGGGTTAGATCGCCGAAACAACAGCTCTTGGTCGGGTAAAACCCGAATCATTCCGGTACGTAGAACGAACCGGCTGTCGTGGGAATGTCCAATTGTATCTTTCTAGGCGCTACGTTGGTGTTTTAGGTACAATTCCAATCAGCAGCTATTTAGATACTTACATATCGCCGCCTGGATATAAGATTGTCGAATGTTACTTTCGGCGGGTTTTGGGAAATCGGGTTTGACTCAATCGGCCCTATGCTGAATATCGTCATCGTTAGTAAAAGTACTAGCAACCGAAAATGTTTTTTTCGCGTTTGGTTTGAAAGCAAAATAAAGCGTTTTAAATTAAACGTTATAATTGTGTTTATTATAAGTAATTAATATACTAATAACTGACAAGTGCAATATATCGCACGCTAAATAAAAAAACCGGCACAACTCAAAATTTGTCAAAATAAATTTTTTTCCATAAAACAGTTCACAGACCGTATACCCAACGTCCGCGAAAATTTCTTCTTCATCACTATCTTCTTTAACTGGAAAAATACTACTAAAACTTTTTAGTTTTGCTTGCGTCGATTGCGCAGCGTCAACAGTTTTTTGCCTCTCCTGAACATTTAGGATTTTTTGAGTTGTGCCGGTTTTTTGATTTAGTGTGCGATATATGCAAATGTACATACATATGAGGTCACTTCTGCTCTCATGGCCTCATATATGAGCCGTTGATTTTGAAAAAGGCATAAGTCACTTCGAACCTCTTGTGCTAAATGACCGGTTACGTATATCTGAACCCGTCGGTTTTTCGTTCAACTTCATCAATCAAAGGTAGAAGGTTTTGTTGATAGTTTATGACGATAGAGCAGATGCATTCGGTCACAAGTAGCCGGTCATTTAAGTTGTTGTTGTAGCAGCAAATAGTTTTTGGGGGAGTGTTACTGGAGTGACAGTCCTTGGCCAAATATATGGAAATTTGAAAGATCTTCATTAGTTTAGAATTATTGCATTATTAACTCAATTTGTACTAACTTTTTAGTTAAAACTACCCCCCCTATTATGAATTCGTACGATGCACGATAAACGCTTGCATTCTGTTATCCTCTATTACGAATCGATGTTGTCGTATGAAATCTGATGTTGTTGTTGTTGTTGTAGCGGCTACAATACCACCGCCCAGATCGGTTAATATCTCAGTCGTTGTCGTCAAGTTCCACTAACGGCAGCCCTAAGAAGCGCGCAGCCTCAATGGGGTTAGTCCACAGGGACAAAGGATTGTTGGGTTTTCCGGGCATACGAAAAGGTGCTTCGAGTCATGAGGTGTCTCTCCGCATGCCGGACACTCATTCGGCACATCCGCATTTAGTCTGCTCAGGTATGAGTTTAACCTGCTGCAGTAGCCAGAGCGAAGTTGGGCTATCGTGGTTCTTGTCTCCCGAGGCAGATGAAGCTCCGTCTCGTCTATGTCCGGTGGTTGTGTGCCTAGAACGGCATTCACAGGTCTGGAGACTACATAACTCGAGACTGACTCCCTGTGAATGCCGTTCAGGGCCGGTCGATATGCTGACGGGTGCAGAGGTTGTTTATTGAACCTCTTGACTTCGTCCGTCAGTTCGTAGAGATTCCTCCTGACGTGCCTGGGCGCGGGCTCTTCTGCAAGCAGCTGCCCATTCGGGTGACCACGTCTATGGTTTCCGTTCCGACAAGGCACTGCTTGCAGAGCATGGTGTTATGCTCCTTGACCGGGAGCAATTTCGCCTCGTCGTGTAGGTGGTGTTCAGGGGAAATTAGAAGGCATCCAGGCGCTGTCCGTAGTGCGGTGTTTGGTGTCGTCTGCAGCTTCATCCACTGCGTCCTACTAGTCCCCGGCGACCACACTGGTGCTGCGTAATTTAAAACCGGCCGGCCTATTGCCTTGTATGTTGTCAGCAACGTTTCTTTATCTTTGCCCCAAGTACTGCCGCCTAGCGACTTGAGGACCTTGTTGCGGCTCTGTACTTTGTTGACAATAGCGGTTGCGTGCGCAGAGAAGAAGAGCAGACTGTCGAATGTTACTCCGAGTATTTTGAGGTTATTCACCGTCGGAATTGGTGTATCATCGACGTGAATTCCCAGTGGTAGCCTGACCTCCTTCGTCCAGGTGGTGAACAAGGTCACAGAGGATTTCGTAGGGGGTTAGACTCCTTGCAGTGAAGAAGCGAGAAAGCTCGGAGAGATACCCGTTTACTTTCGAACACAAGTCATCAATTCCATTCCCATTCGCCTTGATCGAGACTCCCTCTGGTGGTTGAGGGAGCTTTGAAATGTAAAAGTTAAACAGTAGCGGGGAAAGGACACCACCCTGTGGAACCCCGTTTTATTTTTCAAAGTTTGCTCGATTTGTCTCTAAACATTACCGACGAGCAGTGTTGCCGTTTTGGTACTTTTAACCAATTTTGGTTATTTTTTTCTTGGCTGTGAAGTTGTTAAGATCCTTCCCATTCTGGTTATTTTTAAACATTTGCTGTAGTTTTTTATTTTTTTATACATAGTATAACCAATACATTTATTCTGCTCAATATGGTTATTTAAATAAAGTTATTACTACTAAAATGGCAACTCAAGATTCGACTTATTCCAATAATAATCATGTGTTTAGATATGCAAAAGAACATGTAAATGCGTCTTTAATAAATCGTGGTGAATTAATCGCCAAGTTTTTGAAACGGCCCGGCAGTTACACCATTTCTATGTTCTTTGCACACACCTACATAGTAGGGGTCTTCATCTAAAGTGATAAAGGGATAAATTGTTTATCCGCATTCTTTCATGAAGGCACTTTGGTAAATAATTGCCCAAAATTGTTTATTATTTAACCTATCTGGCTAGTTACGTTTCATTCTTACCTCGTCCATTTTACTAATTTGCTTTTTATGTGTTCGTAGCAAAATCAATCACCTGGCAGTCTGTCAGGGTTGAATTCTGCTGAAATTTATACGTTTATCCATTAAAATCGTTTGATAAAGTTATAAACTTTGGTTAATAGATGTCCATACAAAGTTTTACTGTGCATTTATCAAAATGATAATTTTATCAAGTTGATCAACAGTTTATCACTTTTGATGAAGACCCCTAGTATGTACCTGAAATGACATTTGAATAATACGAGAGTCATTAAGAAGCCGGGAAAAATTATTAGAATTCGGCACAAAATCGGTGCTTCAAGTTAATTTATACGGGCTCATTGCTATGGATAAGTGAACAAAAAATGCACAATTTTGGTTGTATTTTGCATAATATGTATTTTCAAAAAAACTTTTAAATTAGGCTCGTTATAAGACATAGGCCAGCTACACCTGTCGAGGTTGAGGAGAGAAGCCGCAACAGTGGAACCCTCATCAGTGAAACCAAGTGAGAATATTTGGAATGAATGTATTAATTTAACTTATATATGTATGTATTTGTTTTATAATATACAGAATACATAACATACATGGTCCGAATGGTAAGTTTGCTTCGATTTTTCTTTTATTTCTAATTAAATAAATGAAATTAGGTTTTTTGCAGCAATTACCAATAAGGCAGACGGCAACTATTAATAGACTAGCTGATTTGGGTAGACGGTAGTGCACACAGCAACATTTACCCCAAAATTTAGTCAAGCTGCTATTCCACTAAAAAGTATGCTTACATATACATACATATCTTTTAAACTACAAATATGTAGTTGCGTTCCAGATGTTTCACGACGTCTAGGTTTTACAGGATTTGGAGGAAAAGCTTATGGAACACCGTATATACAGTAATAAACCTTTTTGAGTACTCCTCGGGGGGTAAAATCTGATCAGAGTTGATAATGAGAAGAAGCATGAATTTTGCCGATTCAGAGTTGCATACAAATTTACTGTGGTATGAAAGGGAGCAACAACCGTACTATGGCAGAGTGGCACAGGTAATTTTGTAAACAAACACTTCTTATAATTTTAAGAGATAATTGCTATTTATTTTGCAATATTCCGATATCCAGTGTGTATCCAGAGGCAGTGGCAACTGAGCCTCACTAAAATCTACTCATCATGTTGGAGCAGCTCCGGGTAATGGACCATTTAATTCGCTGGCTGAACTTGTGACCACCTTAACCTTCGGAGTCTCCAAGAAAATGCGTGTCCTGAGTTTATACGGTAGCCATTCATAGCAATTACTATTGGATGTGTGTATAATTCATATTTGTGACATTCTATACTTTGATGTTGAGTATTTTTGAGGAGCTCCGGGTAATGGTCGGTCAAACTTGGGTGTGCCTTATGAGCTCTCTGGGCGGATGCGCTGGCAGGCTTTGGAGTCTCTATAACTACAAACCTGTTTTTTTGTTTTGGAATAATGACTGAAATATATTCGGAAATTTAGAATTTTCCTTGATAAATTCACAAAATTGACGGTTTTCATAAAAATATAATCTTACGATGGATATTTTATTGAAGTTTAAAGAAAGACAAGCAATAATTATGTACTTTACTATTGATATTGTTCTCAATTAAGCATTGATATTATATTTAACCTACATTTTGTTCATAAATAACACAATTATATATATACTAGCTTATAACCGCGGGTTTCACCCCGCGCTTTTATGCAAATATG